ATATAACATATGTTAACTTTCAACTTTGTGGGTTGAAGTACCCTGGCTAATAAATTCATCTTTTTATACTGGGCAAAAATACCAAAAATAAAAAAGGAAAAGGGAGCTCTAAGCAGTGACAAAGCATAGAAGCCATTTCCAGCATTTTCCTTCCATATCAGCAAATTAAATCAGTTTGATGGAAGACCAGGTGATGAGGAGCAAGAAGAGACCATTGAATAGTTATTTAGATTATTTAAAATTTTTTAAGTAATTATTTTTAATGAGTACTGTAGTTATCATTAGTTTTTTTTATTTTTATTAGGATTAGATCTTTTATATATTAAGAGTCTTATAAGTCTTTAACTATTTTTATTTATTTGTTAAGTGTCTAAGTTCTAGTTGAACTAGAAATTTGGAATTTCAAGTTATAGTTGTAATTTGACTAGGAGTTCTAGTAGGAATTTTAGTTTATATATAAATATGCTTGTAATTTCTTTTATTAGTAGTTAATTGAATATTTAAAAATTTGTAGCAAGATTTTTTTCTTGAGATTGTGCGGTGCTATTTTGTTGTGTGATGCAATCAATTTTAGGTGTGGTGCCGAAGGATTTCTATCTTCTTTAGGTGTGATACCTAAAGAAATCTAGATATGACTTCTATAATTTTTTTATCTTTCTTGTATTTTTCAATTTTTTCCTCTCTTCTAAACCTAGGCTATGAACAGTGAGTGTGAACCATAAAAGAGAAAATCATAATAGTTACACATAGGTTTCTTTAGGTATCACATCTAAAGATTATAAAAACGTTTAAGTATCACACCTAAGGTTGGTCACATTGCACAAGCAAGATTTCATCAAATAATTTCAAAAGAAAACTCTTGCTGCAAATTTCTAAATATTCGATTGACTACTAATAAAAGAAGTTAAAAGCATGTTTATATATTAACTACTAAGTCACCTAATAGAAGTCCTATTATAATTTGAACTATAATTTGAAATTTAAAATTTTTAATACAATTAGGATTTAGACTCTTGATAAATAGAAATAGTAAAAGACTTCTAGATCTCTTAATAAAAGAGCTAATCCAAATAAAACTAGAAAAACTAAGGTTAAACCTCCAATTTGGTCATTGAACTATTGTACGGACCCCAGATTTAATTCCTGAACTAAAAAAATCCTTGATTTGGTCCCTGAAGCATTGTACAGACCCTCGATTTGTTCCTTACTGTTTATCAATTTGTCTCAAGTTGGTCATTTCGTACAAAAAATAGCTGACGTGTCCGTTACTTAACAGCGAAAAATAGTAACTTAACGACGAAAAAAAGTAACTTAATGGTCACGTGTCACATTAATAACAAGACATGTCAATTGGTTTTTATACGGAATGACCAACTTGCGATAAATCGGTAAACAGTAGGAACCAAATCGGGTGTCCGTACAATAGTTTAGGGACCAAATCAGGGATTTTTTTAGTTTAGGAACCAAATTGGAGGTCCATACAATAGTTCAAGGACCAAATTGGAGATTTAACCAAAAACTAATGATAACTACATTAAAATAAAAATAATTAAATAACTACACCCTCTATTCTAAAATAATTAGTTGTTTTTTGATTTTGAATTTATTCTAAACTAACTATTCTTTTTTATCTTTTAAGGTAAACAATTATTTTTTTTCTATTTTAACCCTATCATCTGTTTACTTTAATTATTTATCCTATCACAAAAAAAAAAAAAATTCTTTTATTTCTTTTTTAAGTTGAATATAGGTAAATATATAAATTGTCCACAAATCTTTAATTCAAACAAAAAAAAAGGTAAATATATATATTTAGGTACATAGGAAGTATTCAATAATTTCTTGTTGCTCTTTACCATGTGTCTTTAATTGTGAATGTTAGTTGTATGTACAACACCAGCTCATGCCACTATGACAAATAACAGAACCAGATTATGACTATGCTAAATACTTTTATATGACAAATACTAGTTTATACCAAACAAGGTCACTTTATGAACATCTTTTATATATATATATATATATATATTTTATTAGCAAAACAAAGATAATTATATTATTTGAGGGAGTACAAGGAGTACTCCAACCCATATACAAAGAAAAATCCTAATGTTGGCATTAACAGACCAAACCAACTGCCAAAAATAGCAAAGCTGACCAGAAACAACATCTCATGAATGCCTACATGAAGAACTCATATTATACGTTGCTGCTACTTTTGGAAGCTCTTCAACAGCCTCTTATGCCTTTTAATAGCTAAGGCACACTCAATTGGATTCATCTGCCACTCATACAAAGAAAAAGCACATCCATCCACCTTATTTTTAATCCAAAAGAAAGACTTCATTTGTACCTTATCCAACAAACACTCCTGCAAGCTCCCATAATTCTTAAATACACAAGCATTCCTCCAATACCAAAGATACCATGCAACAACTAGAAAAACACATGCACCCAACTCCTTCCCTATAATTCTACCCAAATCAAACAAGAAAAAATCTACCACTCCCCTAACTGTATTCAACATGACAATTTCAATGCCCCACCAATTTAGCACCTTAACCCAAACTAACCAAGCTTCCCTGCAAGTACAAAATAAATAATCTACCTCCTCCATCCCCTCATGACACAAACCACAAAAAAATCCCTCTTGCTGCAACGTCGCACCCCTTTTTTGTAAGTTCCATTTTGTTGGCAACCAATCAAGAAGTAACCTCCACCCAAAAAAACTAACTTTCAAAGGCACTAGCTTGCACCAAATAAGCCTGCAGTATTGGGTATCCAGAAGATGCTCCTCAGGAGATAAAAATTCATAAGCTGTCCGAACCGAATATTTTCCTCCTGGGTCATGTTTCCAAGTCCAAACGTCCTCCCTACCTTTCTTTAAGTGTACACAATCCACTACCCCCCACAAAGCCTCCTCCTCATCCTTTTCTCGCCCCATTCGCCCCCTTCTCCAAACTAGATTCCATTGCCACCTATCTCCTTCCCATTCCCCCATATCACTAACCAAGCCTTCCTTATTCGCAACCAAGGCATACAATCTGGGGCATCAATCCCTTAAAGAATTGTCTCCCGCCCATTTCTCTCTCCAAAAACCCACCCTACTTCCACACCCTACCTCCCATCTAAACCCATTCCCTAACATATTCCTCAGCCTAACTGATTTCCCCCCGATGCTAATGATATCCTTCCACATCTTCGACACTCTTAAATTAGAAATTGCTGTTATATCCACCTCACACGGACCCTCATAGTATTTATCCCTCACTACCCGCTTCCACAAACTCCCCACACCATCACCAAACCGAAACCACCACTTCCCTAATAATGCCCAATTTTTCTTACGCAAATCCAACAACCCTAATCCTCCCTACGCCTTATTGCCACATACAACATCCCATTTAACCCATGGAATTTTCCTATTCAATTCAGCTCCACCCCATAGAAACCCCCTTTGAATTTTAACCAACTTAGAAACCACAAAA